TCACCAGGAAACGTTTAAATTTGACCGATATGAGCCGGTAAATTTCGTTACTTCGGTCTTGATTTTTCATTGTATACATGGTATAGATCCAACTAGTGATGGTAAGTTCCAGATATAACTAGCTGCAAACTTTCCACCTTCAAGGTTTGTTTGGTCGAAATTCAAGTTTGTTCTAGCAATAGTTGAAACTGCCTAGTATCAATGGAAACAAAAAAGCTTTCACAGGTGACAAACAACGTTCCGGAACAACGTTGCATAAATTGTACGACGTAGACACGCGCTGCTGGATTGGATTATTACGCTCTTACTTGCTACATACAGCTTCCACAGACAATTGCCCATCCAGATTTGGATGCAGAGGATATGAGAGAAAGAGAGAATTATGTGACGCAACGCCATGCACGCACATCTACATGTGTATACGCATTGCTCGAGTCGTCGAACAATCGTACGTGTAGGTACCTGCAGCTTCTCGGGCTAACGAAGCGGGGTCGGGCCAAACGTACAATTTGCCAAAGCACCCGGCTGAATAGGTATGTCGGTAGAGGGACAGAGAGAGATGGATCGATCGGCACCGATCGATGGTCCACGTATGCGGAACACCTCTGGTACATGGACCGCGCGAAATGAGAGAAATCGGCTTGGAATTCGGGGGGTGGATCGGGATAGAGGATCTGCGAAATCGATTTCTGGATCTCATGCTGCCGAGACGCTGATTCTCTATCCTTCCTTCCTTCTCTGGTAACAATTTCGGGAGTACACGTGCATGGATTTCATGTACCGTGTGATGATGCACCCGATGAGGCAGGCTTCGAACGCTTGGTATACGCCAATTATATTATCCAATGCTACGTCCCCTTGGATTTATGCACGGATGGCAATATTTTTGCAGCTCGCACCGATTAAATTACAGATATTGGTATGATCCTTCGCGGTGGACGTTTTTTCCAATCATCGCGATGAAAAAAAAAAAAAAATAAAAAAAATAAAAAATAAATAAATCATCGTCATTTGTGTTTGCACTAGATGTTGTTATCTAAGGCTCGTTAAACGACGCGTTGATCGGTGAAGCGAAATTTCAAACGAAAATTACTCGGCACGCAGGGATGCGATGCGAACAGATTTATCTTTCACCTCTCCCGATCTACGAGCCCTTGCTCTTATTTCGGATCACTTTGACTACCTAATGTACATACAGCCAACAGGCTACTGCTCCAGCTGCGTCCATCATATACTCCAGAAGAGATGAATGAGAGCAGAAGAAAAAAAAAAAAAAAAAAAATCACGTAGTTAAAGAGTCTGTATATTGGACGAGTTGTGTGGCTTTGAAGTGGTTGTCCATTAAAGCATCACTACTGCACTGTACTTCTACGTAAGTGCGAGAGTATACCCTAACGCGCATTACAAGAAGAAGCACGCAAAGGGTTTAAAGACTCTATAATGGTAAAGGGGGGCAATCGTGGCTGTCAGTATGGAGCAAGATTAGTGGTTTTCTGTACCCAAGGGGGAAAACGAGGTCGACGAGGTGATTTTTCCGAAGCTTGTACAGTGAGAAGCTTGAGATGTGTACGTTAGACCCTGTGTGTGTATTATATTATTTATTCGTACATGGTAACTAAATTAATAAGGAACGCGATCCGTCAATGAGCGATCAATTGCGCACGTTTAGGCCAGTTATAATACCAACTCACCTCCCCAACGAACGCTGGACCATTTTTACGAGTAGGTATACCTATACCTAACTATGTCAAAGTGCACTTTGAATTTGTACCGGATGCAAGGGAACAAATATATATGGTGGTATAAGCAGGGTAGGGTTGGTGTTTGGTAGCCTTTTCTCGTGTTACAGTCTCCGAAAATCGCCAACCGTGAACGCTTCAAAAGTTTGACGTCCCGTGGACGCGCTATAAACAAATGCTCGCTGTCAGTGTAGTAAGTACATATCTTTTCGGCATTGCGAGCTTTCGAAAGCTCAATTCACTCTGTGATGTACTTACATGGGGGTAGAGGGGATCTTCCTTGAACAAACTTGGCGTCAATTTGCCAAAATGGAGCCTTGATGTCACGTATTGTGTCTCTTTGGGGAAAAAAAAAAAAAAAAAAAAAAGCAAATAAAAGGAAACGAGGTGATGGGAGAACGCAGTCTGCACGCGTACACGTGATGCTTCAATCGCACGCCGCGGTGCATAATCAATCGTAAGTCTTGCATGTAACAGAAGAGAGAGAAAAAAAAAAAACCATTTGGCTAGGCTCTCTCTAACTTTGTTTTTAACCATATACCTTTCACAGCTGTACGTAACGCTTACATCGCTCTCCTGTACTTTCCGCGCAAACGCATAAGTATACACTAGACACATGCTATGGTTCATGCACCGTGATATCATACGCTCGTTTTGGAATGAAAATTTGCATAATTATACACTGAAGGTGTATACAGCCCATGTAACAGCGCACTTCCTCCAAGGTCCTTTTTCTCCTTCTTCTTCTTCTTATTATTATTAAGATCATACAGCTCGAGTAAAGGTCGATTTAACCGCGCGAAATTTGGGCTGCTCCCGCGTTTACACTTAGCTCCATCTTAAAACGCTTATTCATCACGGAAGCGCTTCGTGTATATATATACATATATATATATACCTGGTATAGCTCGCGGGTTTTCATATAAAANTATATATATATGCAATTGAAACGGCTTAATTTCCTCGAGAGAAAATACAAGGCACGTACACACGTACACCCAATTGATAAGTCGTTTGAGTTGCCTCAGCATTGTAATTGTTTACGCGTTTAAAGGGCCCCCATATTCTCCCCTTACTTAGCGAAATCGTCATCGTGATTTCCTACTCTGGAAGTCACGCTCTACGTACAGGTATGCCTACATCATGTTTGGGTACAACCGGGAAAAACAGCGAGCTAAATCTCGGGGATTTTTCAACGTTAATTCGTACGATTACATGTCTCTCCGCGTATATACACATGGGCAACTACCAGTGCCAGGACGCGTGATCCTTTGTTAAGTGTTTCGTTGGACCGTTAACACCGCGAAGAGAGTGTTTATATGTTATGATCGGCGCTTAAGGTTTTAAGCTGGTCGATCGGTGTGCGCCGTTCGTACCGAGAGCCTCGAGTATTTTTATTTTCGATTCGACTTTCGAGCGTGTAAGTAATAAGCGCTTCGTACGCGTACCATACGTTCCCTTCTCAGATAATGGGTGTACCATTCACCCACGGTGGTATATCCCCTTCTGAAGTTATTGCTGAAATAATACGACTCACCTTGTACCTTATAGCAGTTGCTTTTTTTTTTTTTGTTTTTTTTGTTCATACAATGGTTGATCATGATCTCAATTAATCTGAACTGCGTATGATTTTTTTTTCAAAACAAAAGGTTAAAGTGTACTTTATTTCAAATATGTATGATAATTATGCGTGTCACCTGTATGGTGATACATGTGTTAATTTTAACACAACTAACAATACGGGGAGTAGGTAACATCAATTTCGTATAAAAATAATATGGATTTGCGTATAAAAAGTCATCATGTACAAAACACTAAACCTATCGATTTATCGTTAATTAATGCGCCCCTGTGTCATTTGTGTGGCTTAATTAATCGTCGCACGATAACATAAGTAGCTCAAACGAATCCACCGTCAATTGTTTGAAGATAACATCGTTTTTCTTCATGTCTCGTTTTCGAACGAATGATAAACAGAGATCGAAAAACTTAGAGGACTATTGCATTTCAATGCGCATCGCTAAAAAACCTCTGAGGAAAAGTGTTTATTGAATCATTAGAGAATCGTAGGTTGCGAACTTTCATTCAAAAATAATGTATTTTCGCTTACATGTACATACACGTACCTATGGTAGTATTTTGTCGAAGCACCTGTTTCTTTAACAAAATATCATAATTTTTTTCATTCGTCCCGAAAATACGATAAATTTCCAAAGTTACAATCATTGGTGCAAAACAAACATTACGCGTCTTACACATTACACGTGATACGATGAAAATATCGCACTTATGGTCGGTAAAAAAAAGTAAAAAAATCACCTAAAAAGATAACTAACGTACGAGTATGACTATTGTTATATTTGAAAAAATAAATAAGGTACGGTTGAAGGGAACAATAAAAAAAAACATCATAATGACTGCCGTTAAAAATGTGTGCTCCAAGAATCGACAGCTATGACTGAAAAATGCACGCCATGCTTCGAAAAAATCTTATTTCTCGCACCGTACGTACAGGTATATACCGATCGGATTGGTTATATCGTCGGGAATTTGTTCATCACTCGTCTCATTCAATGAAATGGCGCACCATAGGCAGCCTGGGGCGGTGACTGCTGGTACGATGGGGTGATCGAGGGTCCCCCGAAGGAAGAACCGGTAACGGGTCCTCCACCGTAGCCATTGTTCTCGATGGAATTCGTGCTGAATTGGTAGTTGTTGTTGTTGTTGTTGTTGTTGTTGTTATTGTTGTAGTTATTATTGCTACTGAAGCCCGATGGTTGGTAATTGTAGCCACCTTGATTACCTGAAAGGAAATTTCGATTTTCTCAAAGTTGAGCCGTAAAAGTGTTGTTGTATCGTAAAAGTTTGTTTTTTTAACACTCTTGTAAATTTTCCCGGATCGATTTTACAACACAGGAAAGCTAATCTTATAGTTACATTTATAACTTGAATGCAGTAAAGCAGAAGCAACAATAACAGGTGGAATGTACTCATTTTGTATTTTTGAATTTACGCTTTATTGATGTCTCAAACGCGTTATCGGAATACCAATCGATTCACTTGACCGTACACCTCACGAGTTGTTCTCACCATCATGAATTCAGAGTACCATGTACATGTGATTAGTGTGAAATTGCAATAATCAACAATACCTCCAGAGTAACTAACGTCGGCAGTATTGCCGTTGCCCGAGTAACCGTAGCCGTTGTTGACGTTGTTGTTGCTGAGCTGATTACCATTGTTGGCGTTGGTAGGGGATGATGGATAGCCTTGGTTGGTCGGTTGGTCCGGATACTGGGCGACACCCTCGTAGCGGACGTCAGCGTGAAAACCGGTTCGCCAATCGGCTGTGTAGGTGACGATCTGAGTGCGCCCGTCCGGCAGCTGGACGCGGTACTCGCCGCGCACCGTCTCTCCGTCGCTCGTCTCCCGTCGGCCAAAGTCATTGCCCGATGCCGCGTCTCTCACCTCGTACCCAAACTCGTACGACTTGGGCTGCATTTGATCAATTACATGATAAATTTAATCATCGACATTGACCTACTCTTTAATTCAATTTGAAAAACTAAAACTACCCATAAGGTTTGTACAAATTTTTTCTTAAATTTCATAAAATTTATGATTCTTCTTACAACTTGAAGAATAATAATGATATTAATCACGTGAAAAACAGTTACGTGGTGCAACGTTGGCAAAAAAAATTATACAGGTATTCGTGTATACAGTATCAAGACACACGTGTACCTATGTAACGGGAAAAGATGAATTTTCCAAGTCACGAAATGTCGATTTGCCAAGACACACCTATTTTAGTACAAGGATGCAGTGGATCGCCACATATTATACACGTCACCGCCCAGAAGCAGCAGCAGGCCGCACGTAATAACGCAATAACGATATAATAACCACTGATACATATATAACAATGCACGGACGAAGGAGAAACGAGAGTACAGAGAGGCGAACGAGGAGTAGGGGTGTCGAGAGTGAGCTGTATGTACATTTAATGTAGGTACACGCGATTAGCGTCATGTTCAAGTTTCATCTATACATATATATTTATGTAGGAAGAGTATTGCGGATATATATATATATATCTTTGAATATAGGGTATACCTGTATATAACACGTTACGTTGAGGAAAAGCGAGCCGTTTATAACGATGAAAAGAAGGTTAGTGCTATAGACGAGGACCTTTTGTTCCCTGTAATGCATATATATGTTGCCAAGGGTGGCCGGCTCTCTGATCTCGTGACAGCGTTCACTATATACACGGCTGTTGCACCGTGTACTTACATCTAACTAGCGCGGAGTGACGAAACTTGCTTGTGTTGCCAATAAGCACTGATAGTTGTATATCTTCTTGTATATAATATATATATATACATGCATATACATACATATATTATATAGCACTGTAGTACTAACTCTTCAAGAGCCATTTGGGGACGTTGTAATACTTGGAGATAATTAGGTATAGCGAACCCGTACAGATGTGGATGGGAGTCGGGGAAGAGGAAGGAGAATTGTGACAGAGAAGGTATTTCTGTACTTACGTATAACTATACGCATCATATGGAACTGTTCTCGGTGGTGGCTCTCTCTGCTCGCGCTTTTGACAAATGCACTGCCGAAGTGGGGTATCATCGGGAGGAGGAGATAAGTCGATTTGAATGTTGCGCGAACTTGAGCAAGGGAAACTCTCGAGTAATGGTACACGAGGAAAGTTTTTTTTTTTTTTTTTCCTACTTTTGATTTTCTTGCACTTTTTTGTTTGTCGCAAAGACCTGAAGATAAACGGAGGACGGGAGGTGGACTTTTAGAAAATTATTTGCTTCCCGGATTGAAAGGACGGCAAATGAAAGTTTTTGAATGACGGAGAGTTGCAAAAAAAGACACAATGGGACGAACGAAGGTTTGTAAGTATTTGCACGAAGTAAAAGTAATCTGCTACATCAGAGTCGAATCGATGGCTGTCATGCGGTGCGCGTCATTTGTGCGGACATGTACGTATATCTTGCTTTCCTGCTTGCCCTTACTTTTGAAATTTGTATTACTGGGTTATTGGGGTTACTTTCAAAGAGATGTATCGGCTAAGCTCGTCCCGAATACTGCCGATGATTAAAAACTTTTTACGAGGGCTTTTTTGATTTTTATGTTAAACTGTTTTATTTACATGGATGGTAATTGCTTTACGCTTTTCAAAAAAAAGCATACGTTGTAATACATTAATTATTTCCTACTTTTTTTTTTTTTTTTTTTTATTATTATTTGGAAAACGAATGAACAGTTGTACACGAAAATGGGACCGCAAAAAAATCGTACGATGAATGATCTGTTGCGTGATTTAAAAAATTTAAAAAATTTAAACAATTGAAAATAAATTGAAAGACGAGGTAAGAGGCACTCTCGACGTGAATACGAGTTCATCTGACGTTGTGCACACACATACACATGCGACTACACGAAGAAAGAAGCGTCGTTGTTTTTTCAACGAAGGAGAAGGAGGAAAGAATAAAAAATCAGAGCCACAAATGGTCGAGATTCTCATGATGTATACAATACGTAAACCGACAAAGGAATACACGACAGTCGCATGACGTGAATCTTCATAACAGTGAGCCTCTTGCGGCATTGCCCAAGTCCTTATGCCTGGCACGTGTATATACATATTATATATTGTTATTATTATCATACATATACATGCCTATCTGTTGTGTCACTAGATAGCTCTTCACTCAAGTACGAGAGGGTGCGAGGTGTTTCTCTCTTCTCTCGAGAGTCTCGAGAGCAAGTATATAATGAGTCAGTGCAGAGCGGGACAACGTATATTGTATGTATATAGTAAATCGAGCTCATTTCGACACCTAGTCTGTACAACGGCAACAGTAACAATACCGGCAACTGGTTAGTCACAGTTGCCGTTCGAGGGGGACCTATATATAATATGAGGGTACACGAGTAAAAAACTTTGCGAAATGGAATTATTACGAGAAATAAAAACAAAGCAACGGGAAGAGACGAAAACATGACCGAGATATCAAATAAAATTTCAAGAAGGTGTCAGCTGTGATCTTTGACGCTACGATGGCCGAACGAGGGGATCGATGAGTGGCGGGGGTAAGTTTTGGAGGAAAAATCTGCACACGCGTTGAAATTCTGGATGTTTTAATATTTATCGAAATTCAAATCCATTCAAATCCAAAGCCCGTGAAACTGCTGAAACAACCATTCGCCCTAGTAAGGGCACATAGTATACTTCCCGAAGGTGTTCGCTGCTGGGTATCCTTTAACCTTCAATTTCCTCCGAAGAAGCACAGGGGATAAGCCATAATCACGGAAAATCTTAATCGGCGGGTGATTAATTCCAAGCCCAATGTACGAACACCGCTCCCCTACAAGTGCAGCTAGGAAAAGTGCGAGAGGGTGCGAAAACAACGGCGAGACCGGGAGAGTATAATATAGTTGCGCTGCGCAGTCGGGGACTCTCTCGGCGAGGGGCAAACATCGTTAAGGCCAAAAGGCGCCACGCCACCACCTCCCCTCGCACCTTGACGTTGTTTGCCGAACGCTCTTCGCGCGTGCGATTTGATTGCTGGATAGATGCGTGTAGTATATGTACTCTCGTTCCCGCTCGTTTGGCGAGGGCTGCGCTTCAAGTTACGAAAACCTGCAAGTTCTGCTGCACCCCACCTGTATATAGCTCCCTATGCACTTACCCCGTGCTTTTCTATTTGTCTTTCGATCCCCAATTCAGTTTGGATTTTCACAGCCTCGCGTGCTTTCTTGTCGCCGTGCGTACAGAACCTTCCTTTTTCTTTTTCTCGTGCAAAAAATTATACGCGTACTGATGGAATCTTTCAAGGTGCCACCGTGTTTTGAGAAAAAGCACGTAACGTCAAGTTGTACTTGCGCGAAATGAACGCTCGATAAAAGTGGAGAAACAAAAAAAAAACAAAAAAAACAAAAAAAAAAAACTTGAGACAAATTAAAACCAAGCCTTGAAAGTTGCCAACTTTTGAACTGCAGGCAACAACGAAGCAAGTAGTTCCAAGTTACGACGGCCCGAGGAAATTACAATTTTCGCTCGTGTAACTGGCTACGCTATCGTCCACCGATCTCCCGCGTACCGAGTAAAGGTATACAGCTCGAGTATACTCCATAGTAAGGTACTCCACGCGCGTAAACAATTGCTTGGAGGAAAACTTTTTTTTTTTTTTTTTTTAGCTCCGCCGTAGCATCCGATTCACCCGTTCCCCGACTAGGCGGCCGAAAATGAGAAAAACGAGTTCAACCAGTCGTACAGGGGCACGAAATGTGCACGCATGCATGGCAATACGCGAGCCGGTAAGTACATTCATCCGCGGTTCGTTGCACGTGCGCCGCATCAAATGGGTATCATGTATACGCACAAGCGGGCGAGATTCTCTCGAGGCCGAGGCTACTGCAGCTGTGGCTTAAAAATTTAATGGGCAGCTCGTAGTTGCAGGTGCTAGTGCTCACGGGCGCGCTTCTGCATACATTTATGATAATCGGAGCTTTCGGAATGGGAAATCACCTGCACAGCGTTTAGAAAATTCAGTACGGCCGGATCGTTGTGTAAAAAGGGATCTTATACTTGGGCAAGATTTTTAAGGCGGATCAAGTACATTTGCAACAAGGTACATGATCCGAAGATCAGCTGGTGTATGGACTTTGTCTCAAAATCCATGCCCTCCACATCAACGTGGATATCAACACATTTATCGCAAGGGGTAGAGGACAAGATGAACACGCATTTCCCATTACCTGACTGTCGATGTAGTCCTGATGCTCGTCGTGGCCGTTGTCCCCGAGAGGAGCCCCATAGCTGTTCGTCAGAGCTTGTTGCTGTTGGGAGGCTGGATAGCCTTGGCTGGTCCCCTGGGCTCCGAAATTTCCCGGTAATCCGTACTGGTTGCTCAGGGGTGGCTCGCAGCTCACCGGACGGCTGCCAAGGGTGCAGAGCAGTGTCAAGCCCAGCAGCAAATGACCCCGCACCTGCGACACATTTTAATGACGAGACGTGGTCGTGCATTATTACGAAAAATCATCCATTGTGTGTATGTTTCAGGGGAACATTTAAGTCAAGTGTTTGCCAGCCTTTTCAACTGTCATATGATTTTGTTCGCACTACTGGGGGATGAATAACAATAACTCAAAGTGTTGATGTGGTTGTTTTTTTTTTTTTTTTTTTTTCAAGCCGTTTCATGATTTTTAAACCAATTTTTCAAAAGTACATAAAGTGATGAATTTCGGAGTAGCATCACCCATACCCTGTTCCAATGACATGTTTATTACCTCTCTGCAGTAGGACTACTCTGTTCAAATCCCAACAGGTAACATTGCTTTGAAATAATTGTGAATGATTGGTTGGAGGACAAGTTACGAGGGAAATCACACACGTTGTCAAAATCAAATAATGTAGTTCCTCGAAAACAACTGTAGCTTTACATAGGGATACCAATGATTGACATGTATTGTACCCCTCGAATATTCACCATGAATCTATTAATCATCAATACAGCCATCACTTTTCAATTTGTCAAATACCTATTGACTGTTGAGCAGAATTTTTATTTAACCATCCCAAAAAATATCTTCCAAAAAAAAGCTAATTCATGATGTATGAGGTTTATTAATTAAATGGGATGGTTGATGTTGGCTGTCTTGATTAGTTTGTTTCGTGTATGCTGGCGTCGACTAAAGACAAAAATGTATTGGTTAAAAAAAAAAAAAAAAAAAAAATTAAAATGAGAGAAATATTTTTAAAAAAACTTTCTCGTTGATCGAACGTATACTACTAAAACAATAAAAAATAACATTTAATTAAACCATAATGATCATGCCATCCAAACCAAATACAACTGTAAATGCTACTATATGATGTGTGTTCTTACTCTCTCATGGATTTAGAAAAATATTTTCAACCAACCCTTTCTTTTTTAGCACTTGACGATCGAGCCCTTGTAACGTTGAAAAACAGCACTTGAAATAAATTAAACGCTGGAAACGTTTCAATTGTTTGAAATATCACAAAGCTTTACAAAGACAATCTATGTCGCGTTTTTCATCCGAGCACCTGCTGCAATTAAAATCACGCGCATAATATACTGCAAAACGACCTTTTTATCCGCTTGGTTGATTACAAAATAATAAAAACTTTTCACTCCCTTTTCCTCTTTCTATTTCCTTTATGTCAACGAGTTGTATCACATTCCGTAAGTACATTCATTCATGATGGTACTCGTTACGTATATGCGTGCACGCAAGTGAAAGGAGAATCCCATGTCGAATAAACTGCGCGAGGGCACTAGCATGTGCGAATATAATACTTATGTGTGTGTATATTGGTACAGAAATATCGTCGCACTGTGTAAGCTAACGAGCACTCTCGGCTCTTTACGCGTGAAACTCGTCCGGCCTCGTGTGTTTCCCGCCGCACAACAAATTAAAACAATGACGACACAAAGCCGAGCGCGTGTGCCTCATTTCTCTCGACTCAATTTTATCACTACATTATCATCATTATCGTTATGGCTTCTTCTTGGGCTGCAGTGGCATGTGCTCCAAGTGTAATTATTTCGTGCCTGAAAAAATACAGCCAAAACTTAACTTAAAAGGCTGTAGTGGTGAACTCAGTGATGATTTTACGTTAGTGGATGGTGAGCTGTTCGGTATATATATATTTGATTAAATCATTGATCTTTGCGAGGAAACATTTTTGATAGCCTTAGAGTTTTGTGTTTATTATCATAAAAATATCATAAAAAATAAAATTGTCAAGGATCCAAACTAGAAGCATTAAATGTAACAAATGCTCGAAGAAAATTAAAAATATTGTTCGAAAACATTTCGGAAAAAAATCGCGACAGAACTTTTTTTCGAAAATATGCCAAATCGCTTCGAAAAAAATTTTTCAAGATTAAAGTCTATAGTTTTTAACGTTTGCTTGGACAAGTCGCAAGTATCTACAAGTATTTCAATCAACGTAAACAAATTTTACAACGAAAAAATTAAAGAAACGCCTTTTTTGTTGGAACTTTCGAAGCCAACAGGGACTGGATCAAGAACTGAAGATCTCCATGAGTCACAATTGGTAAAAAGGTTATTAATGCAATCAATTGTCTTGAGGACGGCTTATTTTTACCATTACGTATAAATTAATGATTTGGTGTCTGATGCGTTTTTCACATACCGAGTCAAAGGATACACGATCTAGATGAGGTACACGATAGTGTGGCGACTGTCAAAGGGGAATAATCTTTGAGCACGTCTGTATCCGTTTTCTTTTCTCATTCTTCGTTGACAAAAAAAAATGGTAAAATGAGCTTTGTTGCGCTACTGTTTTACTTTTGGGGATTCAAATGACACTTGTCAAAGGTTTGCTTGACACCCGAGCAAGCACTACAAAGGTTACTCTGGTGATCAAAGCTAGATCTATGGCGCAGCAATGCTGTAACTTACATATCTTGGAGTTGTTTTTTTTTTCCATTTCTTCTTTTCATCCTTGTGTGAAAAAACTAAGAAGCTCAACTGTAATCAAAAACCAGCGATGCTCTGAATTTCAATGAAAGGCAAGGTTACGGTCGACCTGCTGATTATTTCCTTGTCCGCAGCTGCACACATTCGTCCACGAATAATAATTTCTTCCGCATCATCGTCCAAGAGCTAAAGTTCACCTTGTATTTTTCACAGGAATTTTCACTACCGTTTTGGTTGAAATAACACCACGTAGTTACAAACAAAACAAATTAACGAAATAAGTTTGCCCACAACTGATTGTTTGACGCTTAACTTTTTATTCTCACTTTGAAAATAAAATTTTTTAAATTATTGTTTAGTATCGTACGATGAACGGTTTTTACTTATTCTCTCTTTTTTCTTAAACGTGAAAGAGTCATGATTAGTTCAACTATTGTTCATGTATTAATATATTCAAAGCTCATTTTTATCGGGTTCATTGAGTCGATTTTTTAAATAAGTTGAAGGAATACGCTTCACCAGGTTGACAAAAAACATTGTTTGGAAAAAAAAGAGCGAGAGCTATGCTAACCATCAGTCGAATTTTTAAATTAATATTTGAGATGGTATAAAATTATTGTAAATTTAAAAAATAACTTGGTACTTTGGATCACTGAATATCTTAGAAAGTATGCAACACGATCACTACAAATTTTGTTCCAAAGTTATTTGTATACTCTAAAAGTATTCTGAGGGTAACTCGTTGAGATGTGTTGCACGATTTTCTGTTCAAAATATCACATTTCGTTAATAAGTAAGAAAAAAATTGAACCGACAGGAACGATTATTTACCCGCATACTCTTAAATGCAGACGAAAAAATTGTTTGCCCAAACGAAGAATTTGGTGACTTGTATATCTGCAGACACAATGTATTAAAAGAAACCTAACTTCCAATGGATCCAAAAAAAAATGAAACTACGAGAAAGCTAAGATAAATAAACAGAACACTTGATTGAAAATACTACCGGCTTTTAACACTCAAGCACGTAATTAAATCTCGAGACTACTCGTGCTCGCATCCTTCTCATGAAGATCACCTATACATACACATGCTCGAGGGTACCCTTCACGCACAATTGTACACTCATATACGGGTAAATATATCATACTTACAGTGAAACCGTGAATTGTCCATCAGTAAGCACCGAAGCATTAATTAGCACTATCCCAGGAGTAACAATTATGCGACCGAGTTACAAAAATATGGAGCAAGGAAGAAAAAAGAGATACTTATTTTGGGAATGTTTTCTCGGTAGTGGGTACAAGGCTCCTTACCTGTAGCGCAGCGTGAAAACCCATGTCTGAGGTGACGATGCTCGCGAAGTTGCGGGTTTGTTTATTTGCGACGAGGTGCCTTCCTCGTTCGCCACCTTCTCCTCCGGATAAGTGACGACTGGTCAGGACGAAACTTTGAAGTGCGGAGGTGCCCGGGGCACCGGTAGGCTTATATATGCGCTCGAGTTCTGCCGCGAAAGAGAAGAGGAGAGTTAGCTGGATAGGAGAACGGAATAACGGGGGAGGGGGCGCAGCGTACTTCCTGCGATGGGCCGGGGCCCTATATGTGCCACCATCTACCGCGTACGATGTACTCCTTTGTATATACCTATCGTTAGAGGCGCCACGAAGGTGGGGAGGATGAGCGCGAGTTCTCGAGAGAGAAAAAAAAAAAAAAAAGTCGAAATTTTTCGTTAACGATCCACGAGGTATCTATCGCGGGCTGTTGGAAGGGATCGATGGCTCGCACGGTGGGAGATAAGGTTGCCGGAACTCTGATGGGTGATTTGGAAATTGCCCGCTGCCTCCGTTTATAACCGAGGGTATACTTACCTACCTGTCCGGAAGCTCCCTGCTGGTGATTGCTGACTTTCTCGAATCAATTGTGCCCACTAAGTGTTTTCTGCTAAAGTGCTTCGAGGTTGTTTGGTTTTTTTTTTTTTTTTTTTTTTTAAATGGCACCAATCCAGACACACATCCAACAGTAAGCGTACGAAAAATTGTTTTTCGAGCACAAGTGACCTGATTACTCAAAGATGTTTGCTACGAGAATCGTACAAACGATTCGTGAGATATTTTATGACCTACAAAGTGTTTCCATGCATAACCACTTTCGCGAGTTTGATACCTTTGATTATTTATTTTGACATTTGTTGCTACCTTGCATGAGAGTACCAAGGCTGAAAACAAGTAGTTCATGTCATTACGAAAAAAAAAGTTATTCGTTTTACCAAACTATTACAACTGTACGGGGTACGAAAAAAACAAAACAATTAGAATCCGCAAAACGGTTCTCTCTACAAAAAGAAAAAAAAAAAAAAAAAACCGTTAACGCCAGAAGGGGGAAACAGTTACAGCTTAGGGTCCATCGCATTCGGGAATAATCGCGAGCGAGCCTTTTTTTCTCTCGCCACACACTATGCACGTAACATCCGTAAGTATATGTAGATGCATGCAGAGGTGCATTGACGGGCGAGCAGACACATTTCACGCGGTGTATACAATTTGTCCGTGGTGATGGGCTTCACACGCGCAAGAGAGGGGCAGTTGATGTATACATTGGTGTACCTAAAATGAAGCAACATCGCGGGAGAAGCAAAGAGCCAGGGAATCAGCTGAGCGGCAATGAGTGGTAGGCGAGGAAGAGGTGCTCTCGTAGGTGCCCTTACACGGACAATCTCACGAAAAATCACAATTCACGTGGTTGAAGGAAAAAATTAGTTTGACACCTTTGAAAATGTACAGATCTTGTTTCCGTTTGGATCTATGGCTCGTTGTATCAATGAAGAAAAAAATTGTGATTAAAAATTGACCTTTTTTATTCTAATTTTTGAAACCTGTCAAGATCACGAGTTACAAGCGACTACATAATTTACCGATTGGTCTTTGTTTGACATATATTCAACCATTTCGAGTACTTATTAGGTACAGTTGAGTTGAACTGTATCGCACGCAATTTTCCATCCGATCAAGTCTACAGTGATATACACGGCTCATTCAGCCTTCATATATACTTTATGTATCAAATTTTCTCTTTTTCAAACTCCCAGAACAAATAAAATAAGCAAGTCTGTCGCTTTGTAAATTTTCCAAGGCACCACAATTTTTTTTGTTTTTAATCCATCATGCCAACACTTTGAACAAAACAATTTTTTTTGTTTTACCCGCTACAAGGGCACCTAAACACTCTATATATGCCCCCGCGCAAAACACGAAACTCGCGCTTTATTTTTCGCGAACGAGAGAATTTTCAGCTATATATACCTGCGCGTATAGGTACACCCAAATAGTACACGGTAGATATATATACGGAGGAGAGTGGCACACGCAGCCTAAAGAGAAAGCAGACACTGAGCATCACACTCGCTGCTCGCGGCACTTACCGAAGCCGTTACTTCATCTCGTGGGATATAATCCATGGCACACGTGCGCGAGCAGAGAAGCGTACAAGGTACAGGTATATGCATAACCGTATAAGTACAATATGCGTGTGAGAGCGCGTCTTCCTCCGATGGGCTACCTACGTATGCTCCCCGGCCGGCTAATTAGCTAATTGAGAGATTTTGTTAGATATGGGAAAATAAGAGAGAGAAAGAGCATGTGTATCCCTTTTGCGTGATATAATACTTACCTGTACCGTGTGCATTTATGCTCTCCTGCAGAGCTCAGCGTTGCTAGTAACTGTTTGACATCGTATACCGCCAAGTATATAATATTATACCGACCCATTGCCTAAACGTGCATACCATTTGAATAGCCCTCCCCCAACCGAGGGAGGATCGCTTTCATCCGTTTCCTTTTTTTTTGTGTCGATTTTGCGGGTATACGCGCGCTTCTAGATGATCCTCGTGATTTTGACGTGCAAATCTGTGCTGTTGGTACACCTACATCGGGAAAAAAAAAAAAATTAAGTATGCAGCAGTAGCTAGTTTGACACTGGTGGTGCAACGACGCGGTGGGCACACTTACATATACATATATAATCAATAAATATAAGTAATAAGCCAAGTGGCATGCATGTATGTATGTATATGTATGTATGTTTGGTGATGTGTACCTATATAAGCTTCGTGTAAACGTCAGTAAGTAATGCTTGAGATATGATTACACGCTACCTACTCACCTACTCTCGTATACCTATCTACCGAGAGTTTACTTCTGCATCGTGGGAAGCGCGCTCTCTTGATCCTTACGCTTTAGACGTATATGCACACGTGTGTGTGTGTGTGCTGCCTTTATCGCACGTATTTATTAATTTTGACGTGCCGACCTACGAGTGATTGGATTCCATAATAAGGGGGAAGAAGAAAAAAATAAAAAATAACAGCAACGAGTTTATCAGTTGGGGGCTCCCTTTCGTTTCTCCGATTTAATTGCTACGGTGTTATAACGTATACGTGCATACACAGCGAGCCGACGTGATGGATATTTCATTTGAGAGACCGACGATGGCTCTCTTCGAACCTTCGTATACAACATCGTGGACAGCGTTTGGTAAACACCAGAGGAAAACATTACTTACTGTTTCGTGTGTTTATGATACATTATACGGCGTGTAATTACATTATACATTCCAAAAAAGTGCATTGTCGAGTGGATGGGAATCATTTTCCTATCGAGGATGAGTGAAAGCGTATTTTCACGACAATTCGGGAGCTGTATATTTATTCACCAATTCCACTTGATTTCACGAGGAGTTTTTTTTTCTATGAATCTGCTTTTGGCATTACTTCCTGTAAATAGGTATAAATAGTGTGATGTACTTGACGTTTAACCACAAAACGCGGTCCTCAGTACGAATGACACATCAGTACAAACTACATTTCAAAATGCTCCTCCGCCATTCCAGCTCCCAAGGATTTTCATACCGATCATTTGTTCAACCGGCAATACCAACACTCAACGAGGGAGTGCGTGACATCTCATTTCGACATTCGGAGTTTCAATGCTGTACTTATTGTACAATCGGTACGTGCAAATTTTACGAGAACTTTTCCACAACTTATAATTACAAAAAAAAAACAGAAGAGAAAAAAAAAATTTAATTTTAAGCTTTCTAGATCCTCAAAGGCTTTGAAAGCAATTTCTTTTAACTCTACAGTGTTTTCCCCGACGCGTAATAATTTATCGTGTCCTCGTTTGATCTCGAGGTGTTGCGAAGCATATACATGCATACAATAATCCAAGTCGTCCAATTCACGCAAAAGAAGCATTTACTCCATAAATATGTTGCAAGGAAAAGGTTGTTATAATGTTCCTCTGCATACAAATTACCTTGACAATATTATACTTATCATCGGATCGTTGATTTTTTCCCAAAGAGCTGTAGATATACGAGCTTTACCGTCAAGAAGCAACAAAATCGTTAATACGCACGTGGGGTTTGCGCCACCAAAATGGATAGCTCGAAAAATGGATCGTTTGGCCCCTGTCGAGAAAAAAAAAAAAAAAAAAAAAAAAAGTACCCTTTTTTTCGAGCGTACAATGAAAGTACAAGTAACAGGGCTCGCTTAGGTGTTATATCCAAACTTTGTGCTCACCGTGTGTTTTTTTGCTTGCGAAATTCGAGGCACCAGCCAAGTAAGTATACCGTAACACACACATACACGTGGGGTACCTATACGACGCGCGCGCTCTGCTCAACCGAGTTGAGCAAGCCCCCCCCGACCAAGGGGGTAATTATCAAGCAAATAGGAGTCAAATTTAAATGAGATCGTATCCAAAGGCGCTCGCGCGAAAGGCGCGAGCATCAGTCTCTGGGATGTGTATACATAATAGAGTGCAGTAGAGCGCGTTCTTTCTCTCGCCTCGCGTTACGCACACGCGAGAGCGAGAGAGAACGAGTTGGTTGTGCACCAGGAGGTAAAGAAGAAGAAGCAGCGTGTGTGAGGCAAGTGCGTCTTAATTACGGACAAAGGGCTTTCACTTTTTACGAGAGAGAGAGAGAGACGGTCTCGGTAGGTATAGCCAGATTTCCCGAATATTCCGAGTCAGTAGGTTACACACGGTGCACGGCAGTTGGACAAAAGCTGATGATTATACATTTAATTGTTTGGTGTCGGGTGCTCGCTGCGGACATCGTTTTTTCACTTATCCACGCAAACGCTTGGCCGACGATCTCGTTCCTTTTTCTTTTCTTTTTTTCCCCCTCCCCCTCTCTTCGGAGGTGTATAATTACACCTGTACACGATCTCCTCGTGGTTCGACTATAGCTGAAATTACAGGCCGTCTAAGTGGTTTGTTTTGGGAATCTTAATTAATCGTGAGATCCCGCAACACGTACGCGTTGAACCCGTCATTTTCTTCCATATTACCTCCCACTATCGTGTGTTTTTATC